TACCCTCCGACTGGCATGGTGAACACAGCTTGGGTTCCCTTGTGCTGTGAAAGGCTGGTTGTGAACACTCCCATTGCCATGGTGAACACAGGTAAGGCTTCCTTGTGCTGTGGGAGGCTGGTTGTACACCCTCCAATTGCCGTGGTGAACACAGCTCGGGTTTCCTTGTGCCCTGTCTGTTTCAGCATTAAAACTCATGCGGTAGCACACATGCCTCCCCGGTGGAGCCTGGGGTGGTTGTTTGGGCAAACTTTTCTTTGAGGGAGTGCCGGCATGGCCACCCCCCAGATTCTCTTCTGGAATCCATGCAACAGTGGTCAGGAGGCCCTGAGCCTCAGCCACTCTGCTCTTCACGGGCCCTCGGCTTTGAGGAGTGGTTGATAAGGCCCTGACGTCTTGCAGGGAGCCCTCCCGCACTTTGTTTTCGGGGGTCAACATTTTTATCATCTTTTTTATCCTGTCCCCAAACTTTCTGTACTGAGTATTGACCGTGCAGGTTGGCGCAGCTCCTCTGTAGTCCTCTTTCACGTGAGTTGGACCAAAGATATGGCTAATCCATGGTTTCTGGGGTTTGAGGATATTGGCAGCATTCCCTTCTGGTGACAAGAAAGGGTGCTTGTCCCAGGAGCATGGTTTCCTGGTAGTCCTGAAGCTGGACTGGGAAGACGTGGAGGCCAGGAGATCTGCAGCAAGCAGAACCTCGGGGACACAGACATGCGAGAACGTGCCAGTGGCACAGTCCTGCAAGACCACGGCAGTGGCCGAGTGGGGAGGTGTGCTCAGGCCTGAATCTTCTGGATCCTGAAAGAGAGTCCTAAAAGAGGACTGACTTTCGGTGGTCTGAAGAGATTCTAAATCCCTCAGACTTTCACTGTGAGGTTGACAGTTTGCCATATTGAGCGCCCAGTCACAGAACTCCTCGTCATCTGCCTCCTCCAGGTCTGTGCTACCTCTGGTGCTGGGTGACTGGGATGCCACACTGCTCTCCGGAACTGACACCCCTTGGTAGAGAGGTCTTAAAGCTGCACCCTGGCTCTCCTGTGACTCACAACCAGCCTGGACTAGGTTTGGACTTTTCTCTAGGTTGCATGTGCGAGGACCACGAACCATATCACTGTGCCAGCCTCTGCCCACAAGGCTGTGTTGTGTGGACAGAAAAGCCTCACTGTCCTGGACAGTGGAAGGGGCCTCAGAGGACCCATAGTTGTCAGCAGGTGTAGTCCCTGTGAGGAATTCAGGCTGCACAGTGGGAGAGGCCTGCCTACTAAAGTCTGTTTTTGTTGTCACTTCCTCTTCTGGGTCTTTCTGAAGAGATTCTCCCAGGACGATGCCCATTTGGTCAATGGAGTCCTCTGTAGAGTCCCAGCATGTCAAAAGACGAGGCCGGGCCTGTGGAAACGGCAAAGCTACAGCCTTGGTCATGTTGAAAACATGGATGGTCTTGAGGCCTCTGAGGGGCAGGCTCCATCTGTGCCTCACCAGGCGTCTTGTGAGATGTGTTTCCAGCACCACCTGAGTGCCAGGATCTAGGAAGGAAAGCCCATCACAAGTATTCTTGACGGTGGCCTGACCGTTCAAGGATGGATTCTGCTCAGTTCCCGTATGTGTCTCTGAGTTTTCGGGAGGGACCAATGCACGGTTTATAGGAATTCCGTGACAAGTGCCCACAGGCACCTTGCTCTCCTTGGCTTGCCTCCAGCTGCTGCCTAAGTGGTTTTTCAGTATTCCTTCCAGCTGGTTCTTTCCCGGTCTCACTGGCTGGGGACTTTGTGAGTCGCTTCTTGGGTGTTTCACATGGCAACTCTCCATCTCCGTCTCGGAGATGGTATCTTGAACTTGCCCTAGGGAACCTTCTGGGATCCTGTGCAGATCTTTCTGAGATCTTCCTTGACAGTCTGTCAGATCCTTGCAGGGGTCCCGCCACGTCTTGCACATCTCTGGACCCTGTGATGAGACACCCTGTAGGTGCTGGCTGCTTTCATCTGCCAGGGCTGGAGGACATGAAGTCCTGTGATCATCTTCTGCCAGACCCATCCCTTGGAGTTTGTGTTGAGACTTTATCAGAGGCAGAGATGGCTGGATTTCATGGGGCCACTGTCCCTGGTGTTGCGTGAACCTCTTTTTTAAGTGTTGTTCCAGCTGCTCCCGGAACTCAGGGTTAATGAACTCCCCTGGGAGGTGGGGAACAGATCCCGGGCCCTCGGGGGACCAGCTGTTAGGAGTGAGTTGATTAAAGGCTTCCCGTGACTTTTTAACCCTGGTCGGTAAAGTGCCCCTACTTTCTTGGTGCTTCTTCAGCAGGTGGCAATCAAGGTGTTGAACAGCAGGTGGGACAGATTGGGATCTGGAAGGTGCAGGGCAGGAAGCCCCACAATTCCTAGTTGGAGGTGAATTGCATGGTAGCTTTGGGATAGAGGATGGGCCACTGGCCTGGGTTTGGATTCCAGCCACTGGTGGAGAACGGGACCAGGATAAGTTTGGAGTCAAAGGTTGGGACTGGACCGAGGGCTGAAGCAAGGGCTTCAGGGAACGGACTTGCTCAGGTACATTGGCGTGAACTCGTATGTAAGGAGAGAGTCCATTGAACAAGATGGCGGAGGAGTCTAGTGGGGAGCCTGCCCTGCTGACGGTAGCCCCAAGGGACTCACTGTGAAGAGAAGGGAGGCCCCAGAAAAGCTGGCTGTGTTTCTGCTGCAAATCGTTGCCTATGCTATTCTGGTACAAAAGCTGCTGCTGACCTGAAAGCTGCTGTGACTTGCGGTGTCTGCTCCAGAAGGGATGAGGGGTGACAGTGGGCTGCTGGCCGCCGTAGGGGTGCAGCATACTCAGACAGCTCAGCTCAAGGTCGGGCCTTTCCTTTCCCTTCCCCTTCCAAATGTTTAGTTTGACCCTCTTGCGAATCTGCAGTTCCAGCATCTCCTGGGCATCAGGCTTGATGAAGAAAGCCTGCATGCATGTGGGGTCTGTCCAGAATGCGTTCCCTCGGGGGCTGACAGAAAGATGCTCTTGCAGGGACTCGCCGTGTGATAAGTTGGCGTGGCACCAGGTTTTGACAGCTACCGGGTACCAGGAAGGGCCTGGGACAAGCCTACTTGAATGACCAAGGCTGGTTGGGATGGGAGGGAGCAAACCTGGCAGAGATGTGCTCTGGGAGGTGCCCAGTGGTGCTTTCCAGTCACACAGAAGAGGAGGATGACGACGACGATGACGACGACGAAGATGAAGATGAGGAGGAGGAGGAGGAGGTGGAGGCTTGCAGGGATTTTGCATGGATGCAGCGAAAGGCACAGGATCGGGAGGAAAAGACGGAGGGGAAGGTGCACATGGTGCTGGTGAATGACATCTTCCAGGAATCAAGGTCTCTGGCGGCCTAGAGGCACTCATCGACGACTGGGATGACTGTGACTCAATAGAAGCCAAAGATTTCCACAGGACAGGTGACAAGATCGAATCTTTGGGCAGCAGGCGTTCCTTGAGAGGAGCCGAGGAGGCCACTAGGGACAAATTGGTGGCCACAGACCCCTCCGTGGACTGCCTAGGTGGGTGGTGGGCATTGGCAGCTTCTGGTTTAGACACTTTCCCCGAGGAAGCTCCTCTTAAGAGCTGGCAAAAGCTGACGGTGTCGACAAGCTTCCCTACCATGCTGCAGGAGACAGGAGATAGGATCACAGACAGGAGCACATGGGGCCAGGAATGTGGGCCAGATGACCAGGGAAGGACACTTGTGGCTCATCACACCCACTGTCCCACACCCAGATCTTTACGAGACCTTGTTATCATGACCTCTAGGACTGTACTCACATCCCACCCATTCAGAGGGCTCCTGTTCCCCAAAGCCTATGTGCTGAGGTGTTGGTGGGGCATGGTCACATGACAGGCAATAGGAGGGAGGAACCAGGAAGACCTGGAGAGTTCCCACTTCTGCAGAAGAGAAAGCAGTAACTTGTCCTCCTTCCTTTTCTTCCTGCCGCTGCATCTGTAATCTGGAAATGGAGACCAGGTTATGGTGGGTAGAGGAGGGAGCCGAGATCTTACCAGAGAAGCAATGAAATGTTCCTTCGGTAGAAATGGAAAATTAAGCGGTAGCTAAGGCATCTGTGGACAAGGCCACGTGCCCAAATGCACTGAGAGCAAGGCACATGTGTGGCAGGGCCCTGCCCGAAGAGGCACTTCTGCTTCTACAGACCTCCACGGGCTTCGCACTCTCCCTGTGGAGGGGAGGAGAGGACCACTGCTCTGAAAGAGGAAACTGTCTTGGAGAAGTGGAGCTGATTTGCCTCCAAATCCAGGCAGATGGGCCCCACCGCTTCCCACAGCACCTCCAGGCAGCACCTGGTGCTGGCCTTCCACAGCTTCATTCCAAGCACAGAACCTGCGAAGTGTCTTCAGTTGTGGGTTCCTTCCCAGGAGCCGCCTCCCCAGGATTCTTCAACTCATTTGGTGTTATCAGTCGGAGGCAGGGGAGATGAGGTCACCTCACCAGGGGAAGGAAGGAGCCTACCTTTCATGGTCCTGCTTGTCTTCCTGTGTTGCCTCTTCACCACCTGACAGAGACAAGGAGTACCTGCAGCCCTGTTCACTCCTCTGCTATGTGGGGACATATGTACTGATTCCTTTTCACTTAGAAGACCCAAATGGGGTCACTGTTCTTCTGCTCAGGAGGCAGAGGCTTAGCTCTGAACTGCCAGAGGTGTCCCGAGGCCAGAGGTGACTCAAGTCCTGCTCTCACATCCTGGAGCTCATCGCCCCCTTCACATCAGCTCAACTGACCAATAAAAGCAGGAATGTTAGAGGGGGACAGAGGAACCAGTGCTCAGAACTTTTCTCAGAGTCCCCTAACCATCCTAGGACCACAGTCCCTTACCACCGAGACACAGTGCTTCTCTTTGGCATAGGAGGTCTGAGAGCAGACATCATGGCGCCAGCTCTCCCTCTGTCCTTCCTGTCTGTTCTCAAGCAGATGGGGTTGTGTTCTCTGCTGAGATCACCTGTCAGCCACCTCCCTATTTGACTTTGAAAGCCTGTAATAGGAGAGAGAGAGAGGACTATTCTCCGTTGGGTTGGGGCTAAGGCATTCTTACCTTTGCAGTGGTGGTCTTTTTCTCTGGTGGAGGTGAGGGCGAGGTAAAATGGAAGAACATTAAGAGGTGGAAGAGCCCCAGTCCACAAGCAAAGGCAACAATCATGTCCATTGCCCAAGTAGTGAAGCTGGGACTCAGCCATGCAGTGTCCATGCTTTTCAGTAGAGAGAGAAGATTCTCCATCTGAATCGCCTAGTTGTCCTCAGATAACTTAAAGCTGGGGGTTCTCTCTGGGAGTTGGTATCTGGGACAGGGCTCGCATCACAGAGCCTGGTTCCCTGTCACAAAGGGCTCCTGAGCGTGGGGGAGGGGCATAGAAAAGTTGACAAAACAATGTATGGTCATCATGCCTCCATCCTTTAGGCCCTCTGTCCTCCACAGCCTTTCTTGTTTCTGCTTTCAATTCCACCTGCTCACCCTGTCAGAAATAGTGTTTTGTTCATTTTCGTTTCCTCCCCTACCTCCACAGAGAGGCTTGTCTGTGTTCTATGGGCTTTTGACACCTCTAAGCCATCCCCACCTCTAAGCCATACCTCCTTCAAAAGGCCATACGTCCTAATCCTTCTTAAACAGTTCCACCAGCTGGAGACCAAGCACTGCACTCTATGAGCCTTTGGGGTTTACTCAGACCACCACATTTCCCTTTCTGGTCGTCTATAGGCATATAGTCGTATCACAAAAGCAAAACACACTTCGTCAAATTTCAAAAGTCCCCATAGTCTTTCACAGGCCAAAGTCACTTCCACAGTCCAAAGTCTCTTTTGAGACTCAGCCTCTTAATTGTAACCCCATTAAAAGCAAAATCGCATATTTTAGCCCACACTGGTGTAGAATACACACTCCCTTTCCAAAAGGGAAGAAAGAGGGCATTAGTGAGGAAATACTGCACCAAAGCAACACTTGTGGTCCACACAACGCAGGCATGAACATCACAGCCTCATGCAGTGGTCACTCCGTGCCTCCATGGAGGGACAGAAGAACACAAGAGAGTGAACTCCACATGACTGATCTTTCTTCTGTCAGGCAGTGGTGGCTCACAGCTTTAATCCCAACATGGAAGACTCAGAGGCAGGTGGATCTCTGAGTGCAGAGGCTAACCTGGTCTACAGAGCCAGTTTCAGGACAGCCAGGACTCCACAGACAAACCCTGTCTCAAAAAACAAAACATAACTCCCTAAAACAATACAAACGAAACAAATAACAACAAAAACAAGAAAGGAAAGAAATAAAAGTGAGGGAAAGATCTTTCCAGACAAACAAAAGCAGGAAGAATGTGTCTCCTCCCTGATCTCCTGAAGGAACTGTGAAGGGGACAGCTCTGCACATAACATGATGAGTATAACCACACATGTCTTTAGTATGATGTAAAACTCAGAACCAAAAAAGAAAACCCTGAAATCATTACTATTTTACTAGCTCGAGATAGCTACACAGAAAGAAATGAAATGGACCCTCAAAAATGTAAATATAAATTTTAGAGTTGCTCCAGCGGCTCAGGTGCTTGCCTTGCTGGGATGAGGATGGGAGCCGGGATTCTCAGATCCCATGGAAATGCCTCCTGTAAGGAGAGGAGCCCCTCACAGCAAGCTAATGCTCTGCATGCTCACAGGCAGTATGTAAGGTGAACACATGTGCTGCACATTTTGCTTCATGTGTGTTTTATGTTTTTATCTAATTATTGAAATGTTGCCTGAAATATTGCTCTTTACAAGTAAACCAGCAACTCATGTGGCAAGAAAGAAGTTGAGCTGGATGCAGTATGCACACGTGTCATCCCAGCACTTAAGACAGAGGTAGGTGGATCTTTATGAGTTCAAGGCTAGCCTGGTCTACAAAGTCCAGGACAACCAAGGCTAATACACAGAGAAACCATGTCTCGAAAAGTACAATATCCAAACCACACCAAACTAAAACAAAAAGAAAAAGAAAAAAAAGAAAGACGCTGAAAACAGTATGTATAAAAACTTCACCAAATAGTTTACGGTTTGTTAAATACTTAGTCTCACTGGCATCTCTTCAGTGAGCTCTGAGAATCTTCCAGCATGCATCTACAGCAGACACCCAGGTGCTAGCAGGCACTGCTTTCTGATACTGTATTGTGAGTCCTATTGGTGGTGGACTGGAAGTGATGTGCCACGGTTGTGATTGCATTTCCCTGATGACCCCTGATGCTGATCCTCTTTCCTGTACTTATTGCCCACCTCTACATTTTCTCTGAAGAATTCACTTTGGAAATCCTTTTTTTGTGTTGTGTCTTGTTTGAACTTTCATAGTGAGTAAACATACAACTTTCTTCAGCTTTTTTAATTTCTCTTAGTATATCTTAGAAGATTTTTCCTCATTTACCCTGTGTTCCTCTGTTTTGAGACTGTTATTAAAGTGTTTTAGATCTTCTGAGTTTATCTTCCATGTTTCTCAAGTTCACACTCTGCCTCAGTTCCCTTCTCCTTCTTTTGTGCCACACACAATTGGTTTGGGCCAGAAATCATCTTTGAGTCATTTTTATAATGTTACTCATCCATCGAATAGTTTTTAAAGGTTTACAATATATTGAAACTTAGGATATACTGAAATTCCTCAGTGTCTCTTATTTATAATGTTCAACTCTTCTTTCATAAGACTACTTTTTCCTCTTCACTTACCGTCCAGGCAATATCTTGAGTCCCCACTCTAAGTCTGTTGGAGAATATAAACAATCAATCAAAACTCTTTCTTCTGAATGCTCTACTCTCCCAGAGGCCCTGCACACAAACAACATAGAATATGCAAAGTCCCGTATAAGTGAGTATATACGCTGTGTGTCTTCCTGCTTCTGGGATACCTCACTCAGGGAGATCTTTTCCAGTTCCCACCATTTGCCTATAAATTTCA